TGCGCAGGGGCCTCCAGGCACTGACGCCAGCTCCAAACTCTGGCTGACACCCTCCCTGCCCCCACTCCAGGGAGGAGACGCTTGCAGTCGCAGCAAAAATCTTCACCTCGGGCTAGCTCCCCGGGTCGGCCGAGTCCCCCCAATTCCCCGCCGTGTTCTTTTAGACCGTGGCTGTGGCCGCTGCAGACTGCTGAGCAAACTGGGAAAAATCAGGAGTGAGGAAGGACGCCGCGGGAGAAGGCAGGCGTCTCCGGGAAAGGGTGCACGTTTTGTACACATAACGTAAAATTGCAGGCTGGTGCTGGGATTCTCCGCGCCTGGCCTTTCTCCCCTAAGCTCCCCGGGAAGGCTTCGGTCTTCAGCTCAGATTTTAGTGACCAGTTCCAAGGTTTAGGATTTCCTGAACCTCCCCGGAGTGCCGAGCTGGGAAGATCCCCCTTTAGTCCTGTGCGGAAAGCTGCGGCCAGCAGGGCACCACGGGGACCCAGTGCCCCGCTGGCAATTCGAAGTTGAGTTCGGGAGGTCTCCCACTCCCCAGCCCCGCCCCTCGCCCACCGCCGCAAAACCAGGCCGGGGCAGGAGAGTGGGGGTGGGGAGGGAAAGACTCATTTTAAAAGCAGACTCAGGCACCCCCTCCAAAAGCAAACCGAATCGACCTCGGTCTGGAGCAGGTGGGCGAAGCCCCGCGCCCTGACGACGCGAGCACTTTGGCGTTTCGCGCGGAGGTTCCTGCGCCTGGACTTTGCCTGCTGGGGGAGCTTTCCGAGCAGCCCCGCAGCCGGGCGCCGGGTGGAGGTGCAGCTGCCGCCGCCGCGCACCCCCGCCCCCGCCCTGGCACGTGACTCGCTCAGGCCACTCAGCGCGCGCTAGCCGGAGCGCAGGGGCCGAGGGAGCCGCACCGGGAGACCCGGGACTCGGGGGCGGCGGGCACAGTGGCCGCTGAGGCTCCGCGGCCGCCGCTGCCGCAGCTCCGGGAGCGCCCAGCCGAGAACGCGGAGCGCCCGGAAAAGCTGGAGGCCGGGCAGGTAGGGCTTTTCCGCACCTCCCTTTGCTCCTCCGCGCTGTCTTCCAAAGTCAGCGCTCCTCCCTGGGCGTTCGCCTGGGAGGTAAAAAGGTGGCTGGTTCGTGGAAAGGAGACGTCGGTCACTCCCCCACCCTCCAGCTGTCCAGACCCTACTCTTTTTGACTTTGGATTGGCAGCTCCTTTAAATTAAAGTGAGTTTTGGGGGGCGCCGCGGAGAGGGAGGCAGAGCGAGTTTGGGGTTCTGGCTGTGTGAACTTGAGCGCAGCTAGTCCTGCTCCGCTGTCCCGTTTCTTAAGACCTTGTTTGCACCTCGCAGGCCACGGCCGGGGTGGCGATGGTGCCTGCGTTGAAATCGCGGTAGCCGAGGAACCTGGGCCAGGCCACTGGGCAGCTAGCACACCCTCGCCCGCCGGCGACTACAGGGACGCCGAAGGGTTGGTGGGAGATGGCGCTGCGGGGCCGGGCCAGGTCTCCCTTACCCTTTCTGGCTAGGCTTCTTGACTGAGGTCCAGGTGGTGAACACCCTAATCACCCACAATCCCCACTGTTTTTGGGAGAAACCGGCCGGCCGAGGCCTGGAATCCAGGGGAAGGGCTGTGATGTTTTCTCTCTGGCCTCCACTCAAGGATCCACGACTCCGAGGCCGCTTGGTTTGGGCCCGGGGTGGGCGATCTACCTGGGATGAGCGGGGTGCCAGGTGCTCAACTGCCAGCGGGTAGTTACTTTTAGTAGTGGATAGCGAGGGACCACAGTAGAAGTGCTCGGGCAACAGGGCCCGTGAAGCCCAGAGATTGAAATCGAAGTGCCTCAGGCAAGTGTCTTAAGGTTGTCTGGAAAAGAAAGGCTTTTACATAAAGAGGGGCTCGCTGGTTTTGGAGGGGGAAATGCTGTGTTGTCCCCCGCCCCCACCCCCGCACGTGGGAGCCTCCAGATCCCCCGCTATGGCTTAGGTGGCAGTTTTGCACGCTGCAGGTCTCAAGCTGAGGCTCAGCCGAGTGGAAAGGTAAGGAAGGACTTACAAGTGGGGTGGGCTTGCATGCACCCCACACTCAGAAAATAGATCAGAGAGGGGTGGTTGATCCTAAGAGGCATTTCCTGTGGGCCTGTGGACTTGGGTTGAACGGGGATGAGTGTGGTTTAGGAGAGAAAATGGGGGTACAGGCCAGACGGGCACCAGTTGCAGCAGCTTGCTGGGCTTTGACTGCGTGGCGGCCCTGGGCTCCAGGGTAGAAATAGGCAAGAGACATTTTCAGGAACCATTCTATGTCTTTCTAGAAAGGCATAGAGGGAGTATTTTTTTTCACCTTCTATTGATCCAGTAATCTTCCAGCCTCTAGGTGATCTGTCGGCAATTTGAAAAGGTGGAGAATGTAATAAAGACATGTTAGATTTAGAATATTTTAAGCATTTACACTTTAAAGCTTGCAAGTTAGCACTTGTATGTATACAAGTGTATCACAAGATTCCAAATATCCTTCCTTTTCTGCAGTTATGTGAGAAAAGAAAACTACAGTCTTGTCTTTTAGAACTGCAGGAGTTGAGTATTGCAGAAAATCAGCAGGTCCCTGATACTTGATTTCAAGATTAAACAATGAGGTATTTAATTAAGATCAGCCTAGATCTTCACTTGCTGAAACACAGAGATAACCTGTAGGTCTTGGTGATTTGCCTTTTTAAAAAATAAAATTAAAAAGGTAAAAGTTGGTGGCTTCAGGTTAATTTTTATTTTCACCTATAATTTAACCAAACTACTGAGGAAGGGAGTGACCATTAAGCCAGTTGTTATTTTATATTTCAAAACTAAAAAATAAAGCATTTTGTTACCAGAGGACTGTGTACTACAATCTTACCAATCCCTTGATTGTTACCAGTGATGTTGCAAAAACCGTTGAAAAGTGGTGGGTGATATATAAGTATTACAGACCACATGTCCAGAATCTTCACAATTAAGGTGATCATTTATTAGAGTATATTGCAGGTGAGGTACCTTCAGTTGGTATATTAGAAATCTCTATGTAACTTTTTTTGTTCATTCTTTTAACAGTTTAGAAAGGCTTTGTTATAAATGCTTTACACATGTTAATTACAATCATAAACCTTTCAATGACTACAAGATAGGTATCTTTTTCTTTTTTTTACATTTTACATTTGAGGAACTTAAGCACAGCGTGTTAAGTAAAGTAATTTGAAGTCTTTCATTCAGTATGTGGCACAGCCTAGATTTAGTATATGGGTCAGTGAGAATATTTCAGAAAGGAAGAAGGAAGGAAAGAAGGAAGGAAGGAAGGGAAGAAAGAAGGAAAGAAAAGAAAGAAAGAAAGAAAGAAAGAAAGAAAGAAAGAAAGAAAGAAAGAAAGAAAGAAAGAAAGAAAGAAAGAAAGAAAGAAAGAAAGAGAAAAAAAACTGTCAGGAGTAGTTACAGCTTCTTGAGAAAAATGTGGGTGTAGCAGAAGACTAGCTTTAAATCCTTGATCCCATCCCCCATACCCTTTAATTGTACTTTGATCTTAGCCAAGTTTCAAAACTTTCCAATGCTTCAGTTCCGTCTTTTGCAAAAAGAGAGACACCTTTACTTGATCCAGGGATACAGACCAGGATCTGGAAACTCCGCAGCTGCTTCAGGAAGGAGGAGTGCCTGTTCCCTCAGTTTTAAACCAGTCCCCCATCACATGGAAACCAAGGGTGCTAGGAAGCCCTACACACTGTCATCCTTTTCCTAGGCAGGCTCACCTCCGATTCTGCAAATGGGTGGCCCTGGTGACTGTAAACAAAAAGCCTGGTTCATTGCCTGAGAGTAGTCCTCTAAAGTGACCTTGTCTATTCCTGTCACTTTCCTGGTCCTGATACACACCCTGCAGATTGTCTAAAATGTAAGTATTTGCAAGGAACATGAAACTCGTTTGATATATACCTTGTAATGTGTATGAGGGTTTCACAATGCCTTTTGAGGAAATTTAACAGACATTTGTTCATTTATAAACATTTAGACTCAATGTCTAGATTTTTTTTTTTAACATTGCAAACAGAACTTTCATAGTTTGCTAGTTTTTATGAAGTTTGTCATTTTCTCCCTACCTTCTTTTTTTGGACTAGAAGGCTTAGGGGAGAGGCAATGGGACTCCCTGGGAACTGGAAAATCTGACTTTACACCCCAGCAAAAATATTCAAAATATGCTTGAAGAAAAAGGTAAAAGACAAGGCCCTCTTGAGAAGCAGTTCAGAAATAGTTGACCTCACTCTCAACCACTGATTGCACGTCCTAGAACCCGGAATGTCCGCAGGGTGTTGGTGCTTTGTGCTCCTAGAAGTTCCGCCTCGGGCGGACCGAGGAACACGGCAGCCCCGTAAGACAAAGGGAACCACTTCTCTTCAGGTGCTGGGGCCCGCCCAGGGTGGGCCGGGAACTGGCGGCTTCTGCAAGCAGGTGGACTCTGAAAGTTCTGTTCTGAACTTCTCTTTTGTCATTCTGTCTAGGACCTCAGCTGCACCGAGGACCTCCTCTGGGAGGTATTTACAGATTCTGCGCACTCGCTGTCCTGGAGGAGGTGCATCTTGACCAAGGTCTCCTGGCTGGACGCGTGGGTGATTCGGAGGCCGAGCGGCACACTGTGCCCAGGCACCACCGGGTGACTTCTGCCGCCCGCCAGTAGGTGCTCTGCGCCACCAGGCCCCGCATGGATTTGACCCGTCTTGTACCACATTCTGGAACAACCTGCAATTTAGTTTGAGAAGAAAAACTTTTTGTTGTTGTTTTGTTTTCCCCTGAACAAAGAAGAACCTAGAGTCTTTTTTGATTAACGCTGGATTTAAAATACAGATACTTTTGAGCGGTTTGGGGTTTTTTCCCTCCCCTTTGATTTTTTGCTCTTTATTTCGAGAAGTCTCTCACACGTCCATTATTATTATTATTATTATTCCGTCTCTCCACGTAGCTCCGGATCTGAAAACACAGAGGGAGGAAGGACTCAGGACCAAGGACGATGTACCAGAGCCTGGCCATGGCGGCCAACCACGGCCCCCCTGCCGGAGCATATGAGGCAGGCGGCCCTGGTGCCTTCATGCACGGTGCGGGCGCCGCGTCCTCGCCGGTCTATGTGCCCACGCCGCGAGTGCCCTCCTCGGTGCTGGGCTTGTCCTACCTCCAGGGCGGAGGCGGCGGCGCTGCGTCCGCAGCAGCCTCGGGCAGCAGCTCTGGGGCAGCCCCGTCGGGTGCAGGGCCCGGGACGCAGCAGGGCAGCCCGGTGTGGAGTCAGGCGGGAGCCGAGGGCGCTGCCTACACTCCGCCACCCGTGTCACCGCGCTTCTCCTTCCCAGGGACCACTGGGTCTCTGGCCGCCGCTGCAGCCGCTGCTGCAGCCCGCGAAGCCGCAGCCTACAGCTCGGGTGGCGGCGCGGCGGGCGCCGGCCTGGCAGGCCGCGAGCAGTATGGCCGTGCCAGCTTCGCGGGTTCCTACTCCAGCCCGTACCCCGCCTACATGGCCGACGTGGGTGCGTCCTGGGCCGCCGCTGCAGCCGCCTCTGCGGGCCCCTTTGACAGTCCGGTCCTGCACAGTCTGCCTGGACGGGCCAACCCCGCTGCCCGACATCCTAATCTGGGTGAGTGTTCAGCACACAGGGCCGGGACTCAAGGGTCCTCTTTGGGGACGGGGAGCGTTTGCTTTTCTTCCTAGTGTGTGCTCTGGGGCCGGGGTAGGTGTTGCTGGTGGCTGTTGGGTTTCCAAACATGGCAACCTCGGGACTCAGAAGAAGCTGGTGGCAATGAACTGAGGGGGTCATTGCTGTTCTAAAGAGGGCGGTGAGGCCTGAGTGAGTTTCCTTCCCGACACAGACCCAGGTGTCAGACAAGGGGTAGCCCTTACCCCCACCCCGCAGGAGGCCGACTAACTCCCTGATGGGCCAGGAGGGGCAGCCGTTGCAGCTGGATAGACGGCGCCCCTTTCCTCAGGGACCGCCAGGAGCTGATTTACATTGGCTTGTACCCGAGATCTTCTGGGCCATTTGGTGGCCCAGCTGGAGGGTCCCTCCAAGGGACAGATGATTCTCCTGGGCGTGGGCGGGAGGGGGGGCGGCGGTTCACACTGGGAACAAAAGAGGCTGAAGGGGAGATGGGTTGAAGGGGCCCCGGAATTTAAACTGTGCTGGCGGTGCAGACTTGACGCCGACCAGGGTCAGGGCCTAAGGGAAGGGTATACTAGGGCATCCTCCAATTTACAGGGCTGACAGGGGCCAGATTAGAAATAACCTGTGGCTGGCGCCTACGGCTGTTTCCATCAGGACTTGGGTCTTGGGGCAGCAAGCACTAAGCGGCCTCAGCCCTTGGCCTCGGGGAATTTCGGGGTGGGACTTTGTTGGGGGAGTGGGGGTGGGGTCAGACCTTGCTGGCTCCCACTGGGAAGGGTGGGGATGGTCAGTCCTGACCACCGGGTTAACATTTACCGACTGCCTACTAAGTGCTAAATCTTCTACTTTTGTTATCGCTTTGAAGAGCAAAGCTTGGCCCTCCAGTCTTGGGCCAGCTCCCAGAAAGGGTCCTGGCTTTGAAGAGCTTTTAAATTAGGCAGCGAGGGGAGGTCCCCCAGGTGGGGGGGGGGGGGGTCCAGCCAAATCCACATCCCAGGTAAATTGATTAACCAAGGAAGTGGCTCCGCCAGGAGTCCCCAGGCCTCTGAGCTCACAGAGCATCTCCATACAATGGCGGTTCTGGCTGGGCATTCTGGGATGGGGTGGCAGGGGTGGTGTGTGTGTGTGTGTGTGTGTGTGTGTGGAGAGCTCCATGGCCTTGTGTCCTAGCCATTCTGAATTCATTCCATAACTGCCTTTGTTGACTCTAATGTCACCTCAGGAGGAGTGGTCTCTAGAATTCCACTTTCTTCTCACTTTGGTGGAGATGGGGAGGGGAAGAATTTGGTAACTTCTGGACTGAGAATTTGGCCTTTGGTTAAGAAGAAAAGCAAAGGGTACAGTTATAACTCAGCAGCATAGAATCAAGCAAAAATTGTTGTGTTTAAGTGTGCACAGTGGGGGCTTAGGTTTTTAAAAACATAAAACGTACTGTGCAGGAAGTGTTTCCCAAATTCCTGAGTGGTCAAGGGCAAGCTGACCTCCAAAAAGAGCCTGCTGTCCAGAGCTGCGCTCTGGCCCCTGCTCTGTGCTCACCCCTGCATTGACGTGTCACCAGAAGGCAGTTTGTAGGTCTTGGCCTAGTGGTTGGATTCTTCATTCTGCCCCTGGCCAAGTGCTCCAATTGTCAAACTTTGTGAACTGCCAATGTATCTCTGTGCAGTTGAATTTGTTACCATCTTGGTCATGACCGTGTTCTGGAGGTGGCCCTTATCTAAAAGCACCTTAGCTTGCAAGCAGTACCCTTGAGCATGATTTTTAGGTGTATTTCCCATCCTGGGGGCTCCTACTGTGAAAACCCAGCAGGTAACTTGAGAGAGGGTCACACACATTCCATTGGCATTCATTCAGAGCTGAGGATTACATGGTAATCACGTGGAGATAGGAGCACCAGCATTTGAATTTTGGCAAAGCTATATGCAGTTCTAGGTGTCCCATGTCATGTTCTGTGAGATGGAATCATCATCACACAACTTTTAGTGTTATCTTGAATGGGAACGATAAGGTAACATTTGTGAAACACCTGGCATTGGCCCTTCATCCACGACAGTAATTTTATCAGTTGTTCACATGGAATTGCTACTGTCCTCTGGTCCAGGACTAAGGGGTTTCCTGGGACTTGGGGTTTTTGTGCTAAACCTGGGCAGTGCCCGATAGATGAGGCTATGACATGAATGTGGATAAAGGATCCCCTCGTGGTGACATGGTTATGAACTTGAAAGGCAAGGAGGAGAAGCAGAAACGGTTCTTCTGGAAGTCTCCACCTCTATATTGCCATTCACATTTGGTTTTGAGCGGATGAGCTGGTGCTTGCCAGGAAAAGGAACTGCACGTGCACACACACATGCACACACACAAATAAAGCAAAGAGAGAAGCTGGGGTCCATGTTGACTGATATGTGTGTAATGCCTTAAGATATCACAGAATATTGCAGCTTTTATTTAAATAATATATTTGATACTATAGGCAATACCACACAGTCTAATACCCCAAGTCAGAAGTGGCTTAATTTCAATGAGTAGGAATAATACATACCTTTATTTTTCTACCAAATATCAGCATATCATAAGTCAACATCTTGTTAGAGTCCTTATGTTGGTTATTAGAATAAGGCAAAAATCAAAATAACAGAAGCAAGCATGGTCTGTGAAGCCCTGCACTTACATTGGAAAATTGTTCTACCCTGAATTGCAGTGGATGTGAACTTTAATTCATTCCAAGTTCAGTGTGAACAAAAGACTTTGAAACAACTATTGAAATAGTTAATTATGGTGCACTAATGGAATTCTGTATCCTTCTTCCTAGCCAGTACAGAGTCTTACCCATTTTTAAGTGCCTGGCACATGCCGGGCACTTAGCAAATATTTGAGTAGAGATCTAGAAAATAGTTGTCCCAGAACTGTGCCCTGCCTGGTCAAACCACATAGAATGGCTACTTGACTTTTTAAAGCAGCAAACTGGAATACCTAGAGAACAGAGAGCAGCATGGAAGTGGGTTCTGGAAGCCTTGGGGAGCCATTGGGGACACGGACATTTTACATCACAGAACTTTTTGAGTGGACAAGAGCAGCAGAGATGGTAACAGTGCCGAAATATGTGAAAGACAAAAAGAATAGCCTACGACCTTTCAACTTGATGTTGCTCTTAGATGCAAGGTGTAAAAAGGACTCTTCACACAATGGTGGCTTGTCTTCAGAATTAACTGGGTTACATTGCTTTGGAGCCTGTGAAACAGTCGAGGCACTGCTTAACATTTTAAGTGCTGGGATGTGTGTATGTGTGTTTGCATGCGTGTGCACATGTGTGTGGTTTTGTGTCATCACTATCCCAGGATGTTATGAGTACAAGTGTCTCATCCAATTATACAGTGGTTCATGAGCCTAGGCATTTGGAAATACTCATAGAGGTATGAATCTTTGGTTGTATGTATAACATGCCACAAAAGAATTAGTTTTATATCAATGAGTGGTGAGGAAACACTGAAATGGGAATTATTTGTAAATATACATCAGAAGATACAGTGTGATGGTGACAAAATGCATTGAAGTATTTAGCCTTCCCTGGAAAGGCTAGGGAAAGACATTTTACTATGGAATAACAAGTCTCTTGTGTAGTAGAAAAAGAAGCCATTTTATTATTCTTCGAGGACTGAGAAATGTCTCATGTGAAGAGTTGATGAAAACAGCCACATAGTGAAATGTGTGCAAACCATGCAGTGTCACCCACACGTCTTTCAAAGAAGCTTCGCCTCCTTTGGGGTGAGGTGGGAGCACTGCTCAAGGTGTTTGGAGAGTCGGCTGGTGGTGGAGGTCAGTGGAGAGCACTGCAGTATTTCCTGGAATGCTTATCACCTCGGCCAGTTCCTTTCAGTGCCAGTTCATTTATGCAAGGAACTTTGTGAGACCAGCTCTAAAGTAGCTTGTTTGGTTAGAGAAAGATTTGTCAGTTTTCAAGAAAGCTAAAGTTGTTTAACTTTCCGGTTACCACCCCACTGCAGGTCAGTCAGTGTTGGGGCTGCTCTATGGTGCAGAGGTTGACAGCCAGTTACATCAGGAAGGTGTGTTGGAGTGGCCAGGGGCATGTCACTCCTTCAAGTGAGACCTGCCACTTGCCCCATTGTGTCCTATCTGAAGGTCAAGCCACCTCTGCCAGACACCCTCACGGTACCCAGGTGGAGGATGCACAGGAGACAGGTTTAGATAACCTTTTCTTCCATATCCCACTCCATTTTTTTTCTGACTTGAATGCACTAAGAAAACAAACATACTCTGTGGTATGGGGAAACAGGAACTCTGATACTTGTGAGTGGAAATGTAAATTGGTGCAACCTTTCTGTGGAGTCCTTGGAAGGCCCTCAAATTATGAACTCGATAACCTTGATTTTAAGATGTTGACTTCTAGGAATGCAGTCTACAAATAGACACATACTCATGTACTGCAGCACTGTTTGTAATACCAAAATGACCATTAGGAGCCTGCATACCTAGGGTCCTTCCAAGATGTAAGATATGATGTCAGGGCTCAGTGTGATGCTTCAATGGCTAAATCCTCACCTTGTAAGTGCTGGGATCCCACATGAGTGCCAGTTCGTGTCCCAGCTGCTCTGCTTCCCATCCAGCTCTCTGCTTATGGCCTGGGAAAGCAGTAGAGGATGGTCCAAAGCCTTTGGATCCTGCATGCATGTGGGAGACCCACACGAAGCTCCTGAATCTTGACTTTGGATTGGCTCAGCTCCGGCTTTTGTGACCATTTGTGGAGTGAACCAGCTGATGGAAAATCTTTCTGTCTCCTCTCCATAAAACTGATCTGAAGCCAGGAACCAGGAGTTTCTTCTGGGTCTTCCACGTGGGTACAGGGTCCCAATGCTTTGGGCCAGTCTCAACTGTTTTCCCAGGCCACAAGCAGGGAGCTGGAAGGGAAGTGGAACAGCTAGGACATGAACCAACACCCATATGAGATAGGACTTTAGCTGCTA